ACATTCTGAGCATCGACGGGGAACCCGTCTTCGACGATTGCATCGTGAAGATCGAGAGTCACACGTACAATCCGTACGCCAACACCACTTTCGGATACAGCGACGAGATACGAATACTCATACAATAGCAGGACTTATACACGCTGCCGTGCGAGAGTTTTCTCTACGTCGAAGGTAGACTGCACGCGAAGAATAATCCGCCGCCCGCGTCGAGCGTCGAATTGGGTAAGCCTGTCTTGGCCTCTAAGGAGCCGTCCGTGCCCTCGACGCCGGCGTGGCTCGTGAACAATTGCGTCGCCTTTATGTTTGAGGAGATACGTTACGAGCTCGAAGGCGTGGAGATCGATCGTAATCGCAACGTCGGAATAACTAGCACGATCAAGAACTACGCCTCGCTGACGGCCGAACGAGGCAAGATCTTGAAGAACGCCGGATGGGATCTCGCGACTGGACCGAGCGGCGTCGCGTCGACGGGCGACTTCAACTTCTGCGTTCCTCTCGACACGCTGTTAGGTTTCTGCGAGGATTACAGGCGCATCGTCACGCGCGTTACGAGCTGATTCTGATAAGAGCGCGAAACGACAACAATTGTCTGATATCGCGCGAGGAATTCGAGCCGAGAGTCGAGCTCGCGAAGATACAGTGGCGCGTGCCGCACGTGGTGTTGAATGACGTCAACAAATTATCGCTGTTGCGCACGTTGGACAGCGGCAGATATCTGAGCGCGCCCTTTCGCTCGTGGGATCTCTACAAGTTTCCGTTCCTGCAGAGCACGACCAAACACTCGTGGGCCGTAAAAGCGGCCACGCAGCTCGAGAAACCGCGTTACGTCATCTTCGCGTTGCAGACCTGAAAGAAGAACGTCCTGTTGCAGGACGCTTCCAGATTCGCCGCGTGCAATCTGACCAACGTAAAGTTGTATCTCAATTCCGACTTCTATCCGTACGACGATATGAATTTGGACTTCGATAAGAACAAGATCGCCATACTGTACGACGCCTACGCGAGATTTCGACGAACGTATTACGGATCCGCGAGCCACGAGACGCTTCTGACTATGAACAAATTTCTATACTGCGACCCGCTCGTGGTGATAGATTGTTCCCGCCAAAACGAAGCGATTAAGAGCGCCACTGTGGACGTTCGTCTAGAATTCGACTGCAAGGACAACGTTCCTTCTAACACCACGGCGTACTGCCTAATCATTCACGATCACGTGGTGGAGTACAATCCGCTGACGAACGTCGTGCGTAAGATCCCTAAAACGACGCGTCGAATGGGAGGAGAGAGGAAACTCGAAATCGTGAAGATATCGAGGAGAGACGCGAATAAACGTCAGTATCTCGCGACGATGACCGCGACGACGGTCACGGGCGATATCGCCCCGCCGATCTTCGTCGATCTGCAGGGCTTCGTCGTCAACGAGCGATTCGTGACGAAGGAGATGGCGATACTCGCGAACGGCAGAAATCTGACGCATCACGTCTTTCGCGCGCCGATGTCGTGGAATCTGCTGACGAAGAGCGAGAAGTCGCAGGCCTGTTGGCTGACTCTTAATCACCACGAATTTCACTGGACCGACGGACACGTGGAGTATAGGCACGCGAAGCAGATCGTTCGCGACGCGATATATCGCGCGTCGAGGGATCTCGTGTCGAACGCCGCGGTGACGATCTACGTCAAGGGTCGCGAGAAGAAGAAGTGGTTGACCGACATCGCGGGAGAGGTCGCGGAACAGCTCGACCTGATGATCGAGACCATCGACGCCGATTACGAGGATATCGGACTCCTTCGAACGCTAGCCGCGACTCGCGTCTATCGCTGCGGCTATCACTCGAAGAATTGCGCCTTGGAAAACGTGTGCAAATTGCACAACTGGTGGTTGGAGAGACGCGATCAATTGCGCGACATGTGAACAGAGACGCGTTGCGCGATGATTCGCGCGCCTCGCGCGTTTTCCGCATCGTAGATTAGTCTTGCGCGTACTCTTATCAACGACTTATCGCCTACCTAAAAGTATTATTAATACTTAGAAAGATACTATTAATACTAAGAAAAAAATAATATTAAAATAACATTAAAATAATATTAAAATAATATTAAAATAATATTAAAATAATATTAATTAGCGAATAAACGTTAACTCGTATCGCGCATACGCGGTTAAATGCATTTTCCGGCACTTCCTCCGGAGCAATCGAGAATTTATCGCGCCTCATTAAATTACCTCGTTATATTTCCGCGTCGCGCGATTTTTTCATACCGCCTTAGATTATAGCATTAGCATTAGCATTCGATGGAATCATAACGACTCGGCGATAGCGATATCGCGCGAATTTTTCATACCGCCTTAGATTATCGCATTAGCGTTCAACGGAATCATAACGACCCAGCGATAGTAATATCGCAGGTATAAATTAACGCCGAGAGACCGTTTTTCCTCAGAATGAGTCTCACGATCACGTTGTTGAGTGCGTCTGATATCGCAGTGTTCCTAGCGTGTCCAGCATTCATTCTCGGAGTTATTTTTTTCACGCGAACGACGATGAGCAGCGATGAAATTTCGCGATTGCGGAGGATGCTCCGCGAATGCACGTTCACGCCGTGGATGTGCTTGTGGAAGATAAAGTACATCAGAAATCTCATGGATGCGATCCTCAATATAGCTATAACGTGGAACGTAAGTACTCATTCATCATCCTTCTTTATTCTTTCGCTCTCCTTCGAGGAAAAATACGACGTACATTGATCGCGTGACATTTTTTTTTTCATAGTTCGAGAATGAGGTTGAGATCCCTGGATTCGTCAACATACGCTGCCGACATTGGATACGACAGGCGAGACTGAAGCAACGGCGATTCTTAAACTCGTTATGGTGCGACCGGCCGTCCTATAGACAATGGGAGAGGCGCTCCCCTAATATCTACGCCGACATCTTTCGGCTAAGAAGATTATTCGATATGGAGCCGCTCGTCTCGGATCGCGCGTTTTAAAACCGAAGATTTCTGCGACGACGATTCTTCTGTGGAGATATGGTACGATGATGCGAACTCGCTCGAGGAAACGAGCTCCGTCCGCACGGATGACGGAGGATTTTAACCGAGGTACGGATCTCTTCTCGTATAACGCGTCGTTCTTTCCTTTCGCGTATCTCGATACGTATTATTAATACACGGCTTTACATATTTCAGACGTCTCATCAATCTCGATGTCGAAGGACAGCGTCGAAGAACAGCGCCTTCCCTTCCTCCCGATCTCCGCCCGCATCGCCCCCCTCCCCTTGCGCGCGTCGAAACTCATCGTCGCTCGTGCGAACTGAGCTCGTTTCGCCGATCGGGCTATCTTCGCGTCACATTTCTATGAAGGATTCGTTGTCGAAGAGACGTACGTGTCGGCGCACTCTTACACGATCCTCTATATTCATCTCTATGTTCATATAATCCTTTTTATAGGGGCATTTATGGTTGATTCATAGGTCATTTATGGTTGATTTATAGTTCATTTATGGTTCACTTATGGTTCACTTATGGTTCATTTATAAATGAACCCATTTATGACCCATTTATAGGTAATTTATAGGCTATTCATAAGTAGCTTCCCAGGTAGCGGAGTGATGAACTCTTAATAACATTTTAGTAATGTCAGTTGAAGAACGCGTCTGTTTGAGCACATAAGTCTTGTTTTGCCGCTCCTTTTTTTTAAATGGTCGTTTCATATGGGTCGTTCTTACAGTCGTTCTTACAATAAATTTTTTCCAGTTTAAACGCGCATGTTTTTGTAAGACCGTTTATTTTAGATACTTTACAGTCGTTCTTACAGGTCGTTCTCACAGGTCGTTCTTAGGTCGTTCTCACAGGTCGTTCTTAGGTCGTTCTCACAGGTCGTTCTCACAGATCGTTCTTGGTCGTTCTTACAGGTCGTTCATATATATATATAATAGTCATATATTTAATAGTCATATAATAGTCATATATTTTAATCGTATATATTTTAATCATATATATTTTAATTGTATATATTTAATAGTCGTATATTTTAATCGTATATATTTAATAGTCATATATTTTAATCGCATATATTTAATAATCATATATTGTAATCGCTATATATTACATTCATCGTCGATAGTCGCGCAATTATCGAGAGCAAACAGGGAGGAGGACTCGAAGACCTCACGTTCTCTCAAATATTATATTAGAATATTATAATATTAGAACATTATATTAAGCGTTATATATTAAAACATTATATTAAACGTTATATTAAGCGTTATATTAAACGTTATATTAGAATATTATATTAAGCGTTATATTAAATGTTATATTAAGCGTTATATTAGAATATTATACATTAAACGTTATATAAGTATATGTAGATTGCGCAAATTTTTTTGTACGAATAAAGAATCATTTTTTTTGTACGAATAAAGAATCATTTTTGTACGAATAAAGAATCATTTTTTATACGAATAAAGAAGTTCGTTCTCTCGATCACCTCTCTAGCGCGTCCGAGAGTATCTTCCCTCCCCTCCTCTTTTCGTACGAATGACGAATCATTTGTTTCTAAAAAAAAAAAGTTCGTTCTCTCGATCATCCTTCTCGCGCGTCCGAGCGTATCTATCCTCCCCTCCCCTCGCCTTCTCCTTCTCCCACGTACGACGCTTTCTCGCGTTCTAGAGAACGATATATCGCCGAAGGACGCGCGCGCGATAGTTCGCTACCGTCCCGACCCCGCGCGCTAGCACCTCGCGAGAGCCATGACGCGCGTCGCGTTATCGCTCGCGCTGACGATATCCCTGCTCGCGGCCGTCGCGTCGGCACTGACCTACGATGACGTTGCGGAGGCGTCCCGTGAGCGGGTGAGCCGGTGCTCGTGTGGAACTCCGTCCAGGGTGCTGAGGCTGTTGGCCGCCCACTTCCGAAGCGGAAACCTGCCCACCATGCAGAGGCTGCGGAGCTCCCGTTGTGCTGAGGTGGCTTCCGAGAGAGTGCTCGCGCCGGTCACGATGTCTTCCACGTAAGTATCGCGGCACAGCGCGACAGCTCCTCGCAGAAATCGTTGACGGCGAGCTGGTGTAAGGTCCGTATGGCGAGGAATGGCGCGCACGCCAAGCCATACGTGACCGTTCGTAAGCGGTATTCGCGGATGTCGTCGGCGGCGCGGTGCCGCCAAAATATCCGCTGATGATTGCGGTCGTCCGGATGGATGAGAATTTGGCGGTACATCTTCTCGATGTCTGCCACAAAGACGTAGCGGTGCCAGCGCCAACGAAGGAGTACGTCGGCGAGAGCTGGCAGGAGGTTGGTGCCAGTCAGCAGACTGGCGTTGAGTGAGGTGCCCAGGGGCGTGAGCTGAGACCCGTTGAACACGACCCTGAGCTTCGTGGTAGTGCTCGTCTCTCGCAACACTCCATGATGCGGTAAGTAGCACTTAGCGGTGCTCAATTTGTCGGATGAAGTATCTACAACTTCCATGTGTTGCAGGTCGTCGTATTCCCGCATGAAGCTGTGGTAGAGGCTGCCGAATTGAGCGTCCTTGTTGCAGCGGCGCTCCATAGCGTGGAGCAGACGCTCGGCCGGCCTGCGGGTTTCCGTGAGAGAGAGCAGAGAACTGGCGAAGGGAAGTCTCGCGATGTAGCGTCCCGTGCTGATGCGTGCGTGCGTGCGGGCGAAGATGTCCTCGCATCTTCTCTCCTCTGGGATGAGAGCGACAGGAGCGGCAGACTCCATTTCCTGCTCCCAGAAGAGCTGCACCAAGTCAGTCAGCTGGCGGTCGACCGTGCATTGATGGGCGGTATGGCCGGCTTGTGTCATGGCTCGATGACCGCCCGATAGGATCCATCCGAGGGAGGTCTTTTGCGTGATGGGCTCGTCCTTACGTCCCTTGCGGAGCCCATCCTGGAGGATGGCGGAGTAGGCATCCGCGCCGAGCAATATCTCGATTGGATCTCGGTCAAGGTATTGTGGATCGGCCAGGGGGAGACCGCGTATGTGTGGCCAGGTAATGCTGGCTCGCACGACAGACCCCTTGTAGGTTGAGAGGCGCGGAAGGCTATACGAAACCGAACCGAGAGCGCTGCTCCAGTGATTGCCGAGGAAAGCGTCATCGACAGCCGTCCGCGGGTTGCTCCGGATGCTCCTCCAATGCCGGCTATTCTCATCGAGGAGCGGATCCACGGCAGACGCAACCGTTGCGCCAGAACCTCGGCGACTAGGGAGACCTCGGATCCTTGGTCAATTAGCGCTCGGACGTCGTGCGGTCTTCCCATGTGGTCCTTGATGGTGACCCGAGCGGTGGCGAGGAGGATCGCCTTGCGGTCCGACGCGAAGTGTGTGGCGGACAATGCACTCGCTCCGTCGGATTGTGAGTACGCGTCGTGCAGTAGCGTGTGGTGCCGGGCTTTGCAGGTGAAGCACGTTTTGGTCGACTGACATTTCGCCAGGAAATGGTTGCCGTGGCAGTTAAAACACATCTTGTTCGCCTCCACAAGGTTTTTTCGCTCTGTCGCGGTCTTGGCTTTAAACGTCGCGCACTGCATAATTGAATGTTTTTCCTTGCAGACGGCGCAAATAGAGGAGTCGGACGCGCGCTTCACGAAGTGCGACTTCGCGGACCGGGAAGCTCCTCCGGATTTTGCGACGGTGGCCGGCTGCACGGCGTTCAGCGTCAGGATTTGCTTCGCGATGAAATCCATAAGGACGTCATTACTCGATGGGTCGACGGAATCGCGGATAGAGGACTCCCACTGCATTCTGGTTTGCGGGTCAAATCGCTCAACAAGCAGGTAATTAAAAAATCCATTCCGTGCATGTCGATGGGCCTGTCAATGCTCTCCTGGGCATTGATAGCGGTTGTGGCGGTATTGTGAATTCGACTCAGTTCATCGGTGGTCGCGGCCTTCATCTTCGGCACGGCGGTGTACGCGGCGAAGTTGGCGCGAATGAGCTCTCACTTGTTCTCGTAATGAGAGCTTAGAATGGACCACGCCCGCTCGTAATTACCCCCAACGATTGGCAATGATCTTATTAATTTTTCCGCAGGACCCTGCAAGCTAGTGCGGAGATAGTGGAGCTTTTCCACGTTGGAGATGGACGAATTGTTCCCGATGATGGACAAAAAGATATCGCGAAACGCGGGCCAATCTCCGTATGCGCCAGAGAATGGCTGAAGTTTGATCCGCGGCAGCGAGGTTTTGAGCGTCTGTTCTTGGTGAGTCTTAACTTTCGGCGTGGTGGACGACTCGCCTTTGAGATTGTTCGCGTACTCGACAAGCATGCTCCGCTGAGATACATAAGTTGATTCCGCGATATCAATAAAATCTGCCTTTGCGTACTCACTCTCGAGATATTTGTCTTTCAGCGTTGTCCTTATGAGATCGTGATGAGCCTCAAACTTGGTCCTCAGAGTATCGAGGATGCGAAGGCGAACTTGGACTGCTTCAGCTGTGATGCTGGAGATGCCCATTTTGCGTAGATTGTCCACGGAGCGGGACATTCGCCCGTGGATGTCGTTCTGCGCTTCTAACTATGCCTTCAAATCGGCACTCATTGTGATTGTCTTTCTGCACAGGTTCGCGCACTGGATTTCACACGCGAATTTCACCCACGAACTGCAGATGCGGATGATAATAACTCCGGCTCGAAGGACCAGAAAATGTTCGCGAATGAATGAGTTTATGCGGAAAGCGCGTCCCAAAGAATTTCGTGACAGGACACCACACACAACGCACAATTGAACGCAAGGATAAGACACGACACGTATATTTTTGTAATTTTTATATAATTTTATTTAAACGCCACATCAATAATAAATTTAGCACGTAGACAGCCGCACCGTCCCTTTTTCGAATTCTTAATTTAAATCTATTCATTACATTCGTTTGTCTCTCAACATTAATTTTAAAATGTAACGACTTATAAATTCTCTCTTTTTTGCGTTCGACGTTGTCATCCTTTTTTTGTACTCTGACCTTTATTATGTATAATCTATTGCGACCGATTTGAACTTTTTTATGTAATTTGTTTTTATAAACTTCGCTATCAGCATTGAGAAGGTCCTGGAATAGGACGAAACGTATGCGAGCACGAAATTGTACATGTTATGATATTATAGACATGAATATTAACGATTAAAGTTTAAGTTTATTTTCTTAAATTTTATTTGCATAGTACACCTTTGCCGTAGCAGTAATCTTTGCCTAAATTAGTAGATTAATTTTTAGTGTTACTTAATACCTGCTACTCTCATAAGAATTTTATTAATATTACGCCGGCATAAGATGCGTTCATGTTCACATGGTTTTTTTAAGCTTATTATTTCATTGTTTAGAGTTACCCCTAGAAATATCATTAGAGATTGGTCGCGCAATCACATACGCATTATTAAAATCAAAGAAAGAATTAACTTTTTGAGAAAATGTAAAGAATTTAAGGTGCTTCCACCACATCTCTTGCACAAGTTCAATTATAGAATCAGATTCTACAATAATAGATCAATACACAATTTTAACACTATCAGGTTTAAAACAGCTTGGCACATTTTGAATTTAGAGATTGCGGATGCGTTTAGATCATTATACTATCTACGCCATTGTGTGTTGCGACTCTCAAAAGCAGCGTTCAATTGTATTCCTTCATGTTTTCTTGACAATTATCTTGACAGACAATCAAAGTTTTTTCAATTTATTGCTTGCAATGAGAGACGTAGATTACACAGGAAGCTCAGCTGGATGATCACCAAGAAACACGAGGCTAAGACCTTTGCTCTTTCTTTCTCATATTTCTACAGTCTTGCCACTGACTCCAACACTAATAATTACAGAAACAATTTCAGAGCACAATCAACTACTTCCACCGGCACGAGACATAAAAAAGATTATGAATTTTCTACTACCGCTGTTCTACTCCCTCTGGCTTCCCCTCACAAAATTTTGATTAAACCTTCTCCTAACCCTCCTCACTTTAATTCCTCCCCCCATGTACTCAACAATGTCAACAAGAAGTGGTTCATCAATTTGTCTTCCATTGACATTCCTCATGAAGTACAGTGCCTTCTGCAATTGGGAGAAAAATTCAGCTTACCAGCATCTAAATCTTCTCCCCGGTTGATTTTTGATTTTATTACAATAAATACATTGAGTGCGGCATCGGGAGGCTTGATTGTGACATTTCTCAACAGATAAGAAATCATACTGCTCAGTGTTTGGAGAATCATTTAAAAGACAATTCGAAATCTTTATCTAATATTGATGAGTCGTTGTTAAGATTGAACAACACATGTAAAACTTTCTTGGCTGATCATCCAGACATAATTATAACAAGAGCTGACAAGGGCAATGCTAGCGTGGCGCTTGACAAGAGTGTATACGTTTCGAAAATGAATGAATTACTGAATGATACGGACACTTATATTGTCATTAATAAGGATCCCACGTCAAAAATATGTAGAGAGCTCAATGATATTCTGAAACGTTGGCAACGAAATAATTACATCTCAGCTCTAACGAAACGTTCGCTTTACACCAGTGACGGGGTGCTACCTAGAGCATATGGTTTACCGAAGATCCATAAATCCGGCTTCCCGTTAAGAATCATAGTGTCGTCCATAAATAGTCCTCTCCATAGGTTTGCCTTCTTTCCTACATAATTGCCTTCATGAAAACCTTCCTCTTTCTAATAGTCATATTGCCAATAGTTATGAGCTTGTCGATAAAATTAATTATTTCCACGTCGATGACCGTCTTAAATTAGCTTCATTAGATGTCGTTTCATTGTTCACAAATGTGCCTACAGACTTGATTGTTGACAGTGTGACAAAACGTTGGCAATATCTGGAGAACAAAATCAAGATCCCGCTCTTAGAATTCTCTATTGGCCTTAAGCTGGTACTGAATTCTACTTTTTTCAAATTCAACGGGAAGATATATAAGCAAATTTTTGGGACTCCTATGGGTTCCCCCCTCTCCCCCGTTTGTGCAGATCTAGTCTTACAAGATCTTGAGGAAAAAGCCAGGTCACAATTACCTTTTCATCTTCCTTTTTACTTTAGATATGTGGACGACATTGCCTTGATTGCTCGCTCTTCCTCCTTTGATCTTATCATGAAAGTTTTTAACTCCTTCCATCAGAGACTTAAATTCACTATAGAAATCCCCGAGAATGACCGTCTCAATTTTTTAGATGTCACCATCATTATTGAAGACAATCACATTGAGTTTGATTGGTATATGAAACCTACTTTCTCTGGGAGATTTTTGAATTTTTTCTCGCAGCATCCTCAAGCTCATAAAAAAGGCGTCATAATTGGCCTTACGGACAAAATCTTTAAACTGTCTAACCCACGTTTTCATGAAAAAAATTTTAAGCTGATAATTGATTTGCTACTTGATAACGGTTATCCCATCAATTTCATTTTTTCTACCATCATTAACAGAATTAAATCGCTTATCCATAACAACCTTGCTCCTCCTCTTCCTCCAACCGCTGACACCTCTAAATCGTTTTTCGTCATTCCGTATATTAAGGGAGTCTCTGAGCACTTTAAAGATGTTGCGAAGAATTTAAATAAGTCTCTCGCCTACGCTGTTCCCAATAAATTGAACCGCTTTATTAAAGCACATAAAGACCAACTTCCAAGGGAGAATCTTTCCAATGTGATCTATAAGGTCCCTTGTTGTGACTGCACGGCATCCTACGTTGGACAGACCGGTAGACAATTAAAGACTCGTATGAAAGAACATCGGTCTAATATTAATGGTTCTTCCGAACAGTTATCAGTAGTTTCCCTCCACAGACTGGAAGGACATGAGTTTGAT